TTAAATTTAAAAAAATCTGGAATCTATGATTTAAATTACAGAATTACTTGTACATTTAATATATTATTTTCAAAATAAGTACTTTTTTTACTATTACTCATTAAATAGATTTTAAAGGCTTAATTTATATTAATTTAAAAGATAATTAATTTAGATCGCTATCTTTATAAGATCAATTATTTCGGAGGAAAAGCTCCCAATTGCCACGAAAAAATTTTGACGAGTTTTTTTATAGCAGTTTTAGATTGATAACGCAGTAAATAAGCATTCCGCAATGTGTCTCCAGCTGGAGGCACGTGCCAGGGATCGCTATGGCAAGAATCCCTGCATACATGCCAATAAAAACCGCGGTTATAGGCTAGAAAGGGTAACCTTTTTGTGCTCGTAATCAGGTTAAGTGGTTGCATATTACAGCGATTATTTGCAAAACCCGAAGACAGCAGAAGCTTTAATCGTCGAACTGTGTCACGTTAGTTTTTTATTTGGCAAACTCGTCGTTAGAAGACTTCACGGTCCTTAGAGCGTGATTTTTTTCAGTAAATCCCCGAGGATCTCCCGAAGCTCAAGGGCGACCCACTTAATTAAGTGAGTCGTTCTGAAATGAACAGTCTTGGTCGGCGAACCGGTGTTTCTCGATCGATATGTTGACTCAGTGAAATACGCTGGAACATTGATGATGAAACATGTAATTGTTCACAATTTTTTTTTTCATTTTTTTTACCATTTAAGATGATTTATTGCTTGTTTATAGAATGCGATTTTGATGCGAAATATTTTTGATGTAAAACTGACAATATTTAAATTCTGGATTATATAAGATCAATCATTTTCATACAATAATCTTTTTAATATTCTAAATTTAATATTTTATATTCTAAAATCCAGTAGAAAAAATATGCTATTGAAATATTTACATATATACGATACATACTATAAACTATCACAATGACTATAATAAAAAGAAATTGCTGTACTTCATATTAAGGAGAATTACGAGGTGTAAATTATATAACGATCTGCAAACAAATTGAATTAGAGACTCGCTTGAACAATTTACCATGTTTTTAGAAATGATCGGAAATGTCGAGTTTCTGTTGTTGACGCTAGGTACATAGGCAAATATAATTACATAGATTCGTAGATATTAAATATATGAAGCCAATCTTCGTCACAGTTTTCTTCATTATATTTTTCAAAAAGTTTTTCTATAGTATCATCTCACATGTGATTCCTCATAATTATGTTTGCCCAGTTGTCAATAGCGTCAATAAAAACTCGGCGTTTCCAATCGCGACGAATGATTCAAGCGAGCTCTTAATTCAATTTATTTGCAAGAGTATATCTATTCTTTTTAATTTATAACATATTGTATTAATTTATAAATATGTCTTTTTCCAGATCACAATTCTAGTTATAATATAAACAATGAATAAGAATTTTTTTTCATTAATCTGTATTAATATTAACTGGCTATAATCAGCTCGTACACATAACTCTTTGCTAAAAGCATATGCAATTGATATCTCGTTGATTTGATTAATTCATTTATTCCAATTAATTTGCTTTTTTCTTGCATGTAATAACTAATTAAGAATCGGATTGTATAAAAGCTCGCTGCATAGAATGAGATTATATAATCACGATGAATCATGTGTTTGATTTGAAGTAATTAAATGCGCGCGCTTGTTAGAATGTTGAGAATAATTTCAAGTTGCAAATGTGACAAATAAATCGCTTCCTTGTTTTGTTTTGCGCGATAGTGGCGCACGATAATTATTGTATTTTAACTGTCACACAAATCACTCACTGGTTAGTGTTAAAATTGATCGAGTGATAAAACTGATAAAATATTATTATGCATGTGACATTCTGCGTCCGACTTATATCGTATATTATATTTTTATATCCAATATATTGGATATATAGATCTAATTTCTTTTTTATTTTATTCATAAAAGATCATAAAAAAATATATGCATCTTTTAGTAATTTTCTATTTTAATTATATTTACATTTAGTTAATGTTAACGTCCTAGAGAAATTTATTTCTTCTGAATGAAGAAGGTTTCAAAAGTATATTAAAATAAAAAAAGTAATGAAATAAATTTAGTCTAATTATAAAAGATAAAAAGTAAAACAACGGAAGAGAAAATTTTGATTAAGGCATTTAACACGGTATTTAATTGATTGAATAAATATTGAAGCAATAAGATGTATGTTTGCGATTTATATAATGATTGGCATTTAGTAGAATCCGCGTGATCGTTAGTAGATCAATATTTTATGATTAATTTACGTGTAATCGATGTTGAAGCAACGCTATAAAGATTAACCTGTTTATCGTTATCAAGGACTACTGTGGCAAAGATACGATACGAGCGATTGACATAACGGTGACACACACGATACATCCCGATAATCTATCGCACCTTATTTATTACATAAGATGTTAATCAAAGGCTTTTAATACAGCTCTTACTTGGCGGAAAGATCATTTTAATCAAGTGCCTGTGAGACAACGGTAAGTAATTTATTGCTCCTTTCTTTTCTGGATTATCCGTCGCGAAATTTTCGCGATCTCTCAAATCGAGGGAGATCATCGGGCTACTATCGATAAACGATAGATTAGTAATTAGATCATCGATACGCGATGAATACGAGCGATACGCGATTTTTTTTTCTTTCGTTTACAAAAAAGTGTAATGGATGTAGCGATTATCGATCCCTTGAAGGTCTTACGTCAGAGACAAGCTGAGAATGTGGAAAACGGAATTTTTTGTCAATGCGATAATAAACATTTGATGCGCGTGAAACAATGTATTTTATTCTTCGTTTGTGAAAATGTTCTGATTTATTTCGATCGTGAAAGTGATAATGCGATAATATAAGTTGCGCTAAATATTAAATTAATTAAACTCATGAATTTCTTTGGAAAATTTATTTGTTAGAACAAGTGTGCACGTTAACACATTGCAATTTAATTGATCAATTTAGATATGACTTTATTTAATCATAATTAACACTTTGTGATCCAAAAGACTGAGCCCTCTTTATTCCAAACAAAATCATTTTCCGATGTCAAATGCGTAAAAAATACACTTGTTTTAATAAAACCCAAATATACTTCTTTATTACAGTCCATTTAAGCCGTGTAAAATTGTCTTTTAATGAATCTTTTTATTGGAATAAAAATGAATCTAATAAAATTCATAGAAAATATTAATAAAAGAGAAAATTTGAGTTTATATATCATATTTATATATAGCTATATATATACAAGCTCTTGCTTATAAATATTTTTTATTTAATTAGTCCATGTAGAGATATTTTATTTACTATGTTGCAGTAAGGATTGTATTTATTTCATTTTAGCGAAAAACAATATGTACATCGTAAATTATCTATTTCGCGAGATGTGTTTAGCTTTGTTTACAATTTTCAACGAAATGATATTTGTTGTCTTCAATCTCTTCATCATTTTATATAAATAATTGTGTAAGGCGTAATTGCATTTAAATGTTAAAAAATAATTTCGCAATCTATATATCATTTACAAATTTACGTTTTATTTCGTAAAAATTGAATTTTTATTATTTCCATATCTCTCTGTGTAAGAGAACTCCGTTCGTTCATATCTACGCGATGCCGAAGTTGTTGTTGATTCGGAATCGAGTGTCAGTGCCGACACGCATGTGCGTAACGCAGTATCGGTTGCGGGTCGACATTGCAGGACACGAATAAATTTTGTCCTGGATTTTATTGATTTTTGTCCTGACGTGTAAGTGGGTGGAGTTAGGCAGAAAATTTCTTCTTCAAATTATTCCACTACGTATTTCAATCAGCAGAATAGAAATGTTACAGTGCTCTGTCTCACGATAAAAGAAAAAGAAGACAAAGTAACGGCGCTCTTAACGAGACATTAAACAAATAATATTCGCATTACGGGATTAATATCTACATTTGGATACGTTAATCAAAATGAAACGGCACGAAACGTGAACAAAATATTCCATCCGGCATCTCATCGCGATTGATATTGCTTCTGGCGCGGTTTGATCGATCGCTCGCTCGCTTGCATTAGCGTTATTACGACGTGTTTGGTGCAGCGCGTTATCGATTTTTTTTTTCAATTTGTATTAGGAAGAGCATAGACAAAAGAAAGAGGAATAATCTTCATTTGGTGTGATATCCCATAGGACAGATTTGTACCAACGCTATTTATTCGCGCTAAAACAGACATCAAATTTTACGAAATAGTTTTTGTGATCATATCTTAAAATTTGAAGATCCAATGTAAAAAGATTTTTTAAGTAAAAATATCTCAAGACTAATTATTTTTCTAGATAATGTAATCTATATATATTTACTTGGAAAATATTAAAATATATATACAAGTTGTAAAAAATGTTTATAGGTGATGGATAGAGATAGATATATATTTATCGTATAATACTTGAGGTGTCTTCTATAAAAGTTCTACGGAACGTAAATTCAAATTAAACTTCATTATACTTAATTACAATTTAATTTGTTTTTATCGTAGAATTATGCTTTTTTTTGGAGAATGGAAAACATGCAAACATAATTATTGGCTTAATTTTGCCTTTTCCTCATCATCATGTATACATATATTACTGCAAATCTCATTTATGATAAAGTCTAATTTTCCTTCTTAAAAACAGAAAAAAATCAAGAGTAAATAAATGTGCTCTAATTAAGCGATTATTTAAGCTACTATCTGCTTTTTTAAGATAAAATGTGCTTTTCTCCTTTCATAAACATTACTTTTAATTATTATTAAATTTCTATTTAAATTAAATTTAACATTAACAACCTAAAATACAATCTAAAATAAAATTCTAAAAGTCTCTGTATCTTTTTTCTTTCTTTTTACTCTCTTGTAACTTGAAACTCCAATCAGTCGAAAAACATCCCTTTCTCGATGAGGAATTTGCGGGATTGTTTTGTAGCCACGCGACCTTGACATCGCTTCGTTTCAGGATCTAGGACTCGAGACCGTCGTGTCGGTCGTTGCATCCCGTACTGCCGCAACGAGCCGCGATCGAGATCTTTGTGTCTGACGAGGAGCGACAAAAGAAGAGAGTGGGAGAGAAACGTGGAAACGATTAGAGGAAACCAAGCGAGCGAGCGAGCGAGCGACAGAGAGAGAGAGAGAGAGAGAGAGAGAAAGAGAGAGAGAAAGAGAGAGCGAGAGATCGAGAAAATGACTCCCACTCGTGACAATGAAGAGATAGAGGGGCGCTCGTATAAAGACTATGCTTACAGCCCTGTACCAGTGAGTTCCTCTTCGGCAGTGTTTGATACTGCCACCCCTGGCAAAGAATCTGTGGAACTGACAAATACAGAACGTGGCAGGGAGTCGTGTGGGACGTCGTTTCGCGCCGTTGACAATTATCGCCCGGAAGATATGACGGAAAAAGGTTCCAAGCTTATCCAGTTCCTGGCCGCTGCGGCGGGTAAGTCCGATTTTCAGAGCTAAAACTTTTTGAGAACAAAATCAAATTAATTAATTGGGTAAACATTATTTTCCTGGCAGTCTTGGTCACTTCTTTTAAAAAATATTCTTAATTATTTTGTGAATGAAATCTGATGAATTAATTTATTAACGCGTGTAAAAGCACATTATGTGCCTTCCATTCATCATAAAAATTGTAACAATTATGCAACGCTTTATCCAATTCATATCTGCAGGTAATGGCTTAAGAGATTTACTTTGCAAAATTTCACATAAAATTAGATCGCAGATATATTGTATTTTGTTCGTGGAATCTTTTTGTATTAATTTTTTTGGGATGTATTGTTTTTAATTAAAAACAGAGCAACTTCTGCTTATCAATGATGATATATTAATGCAATGATTAGAACAGATAATTACCCTCGCGTTATATGCAACCCAATTGATTAACACGACACTTTGGGGAGTGTTCTTCACACGGGCTTCTTATTCATGATCTGTCCAGTCATTCTGTCTGGTCATTTTTGAATCTCGAGAAGAAACCTTGTAAAAAAATTGATTAAAAATTATTGAAGTATATATTATACATTTATACAGTATAGAGAATATTAAATTTTGTTTTTAGTCTTCTTACGCAAGATTATTTTACATTTTTTCTAGAAGAATTAAATAATGTATTCTTCAACGTAGCGCGGGTTTTAACGAATAGATTGGATAATAATTGCAGATTGGATAATGAGGATAAATCGCACGATTTGCTTTTTAACAGTGCACTTATTCATTTGATTCCTCCGAATGATGTTAATTGAAGAAAATGAAGGAATACAATATGTATTTACCCGCTCTCACCACGTGTACGGTACGCTGCAACTGCATCTTGCACATGCGTGCAACGCGATTTTTCCGACACTGTTATTGAAATCCGTGAGAATCGAAACTATTTTCTAGCTTGTGTAAATGTGTGTATATGGTATGCTATATAAAATATATTTCAGATTTTTTGAAAATGTGTTTTCTGATTACATACTAGATTTTAGAGATTCTCGTAAATAATTTATTAACGTACGTAATAAACATCCGACACCGAAACAAGATGTTCAATTAATTATATTTGTTTATATATATTAAACATGCGACATAAGAAAATTTAATATATTACACAGAGTTTTTATGAAACAATACTGTGTCAAAACAACAATGAAAATATTGAGCCAGGTGAATTCACTGATGCATTCAAACGCACATGAACAGTTCATATGATGCATTCAAATGCAAATATTATCATAACACAAAAGCTTCTGGTATTTTCACCGTGTACATTCTTCTCCGTCAATTATTTATTTCTCATCTTAAGTTTACAGTTAAGCACGATATTCTATGAGAAGACAATGATAGAATGACACATATAATCATGCGTTCTTCGTTAAATGTATCGAAAAGATAAATCTGCTTAAGTGATAATTCTTCTTATTTGGCGAAAGTTGTTTATACGTTTTTTTGTCACTTTTCTTGTTTAAAATAATTTTTTTTTTTTTTTCAAGAAATACAAATTCATTATTCACATACATTATATTAACACACACACATTATATAAAGATCTTATAATGAAGATGTTTTCCCACACACACATTACGACATCTCTTAAAAATATATCTTTCCTTTACCGTTTAAATGACGAATAGAATTAAAGATTTAATTTAGAAGGAAAATAAACTTTCTGTGCAATTCGCTATTCAATTCGCGCGAAGCCGTCATGCAACGAGAAAAGAAAAACCCGAGTGATTATTCGGCTCGGTAATTCCCGATCGATCAAGGCGAGATTAGCGGGTAGTTAAAATATTAGCATAAAGAATGCACTCGAGAACATCGCACCGGGAAGAGAACGGAGGACAATGACAAGCTACGTGCTACGATTCATGTCCATTGTAGAGTCCTTCGCGTATTCGGATGACGGGAATATTAAACGGTTCGCATCCGGTGCTCGACCGAATTCAATCTTAACCGACAAAGATTGCAGCCGGTTTAAATTACTTCCTCATTACTGGTACAACCACGGCCGAGTGTACGAGATTTCGAAGTGAGAGTTTGAATTAGAGACGAACGCTTTTCCCTCCGGGAATAGATCAACCTAATTCGTAAGGAGAATTAGATTGCGAGTCCTTTGATTGTACGGTAAAGACCGTCTGGTTGTATTTAAAAGAAACCTGATTTCCAACGAAAATCAATATTCGATTCCTTAACGATGTTATTTTTCACCAAAACCGGACACTACAAACAGAGCTAAAATAAGACGCAAAACTTGGAATTTATTAAAATTTTTGCGTATATCAGCGACACGCTTGGAAATTAAAATTCAGATTAGCTCTGATTAAAGTTTGCAAACGTCAACTTGCACGAGAGTTCAAAATACACGAGTAGCGGGAGCAAAGATGTTTAATTGCAGGAAACACAAACGTTCTTATTTTGGAATTATTCATTTATATAAGAATTAATAGATGAGATTTCTCTGCCTATTATAAATATAAATTAAGACGACAAACCACAGAAAGACAAAACATAAGCCAATATTCGTAGAATGGATTTGTCCTCGTGACGTCAAAGTTTCCGTGACGAAAGTCTGCATATTTCATGGTCACTTTGTGCCATAATATATTTATTAGAATATGGATATATTATACGCCGTGATATTCTATTATTATTTGTCAACATACAGTAAATGAGTATTTGATCGATACAATACATTCATTTTTCTGCGAGACATTTTTACATCGTAGGAATTTTTGCATTGATGACCGGTTTGTCAGCTTTTATGTCTGAAATTCCAAATTAATTAATTCCAAGCAAAAATTTTAGTTCTATTAAATATACAGGAGTTTATCTAGTACTGCAAAAGATTGATCACATAGAATAGAATAAACAAGCCATATAAAATATATAATGCCTTGCAATATGGGACGAAATATTAGATTATTCATTTTTTTTTTCGTTATTTTTGAAAATCGAATATTCCAATTTTGTTTATCAAATAAATCTAAGTTAAAAAGATATAAATTTTTTGATAAAACACAATCTCGAAAATTAATTAGAATTAACTGAAAAATAAAATTTTATCTGGTTTATGTAATCAATCTACAGATATCAGACGTAATTTGTTAAAATATTTTATCCATATTGATATTTAATCCATATTGATAAGTGAATTTGATTAAGTAAATTCTCACTTCAACATTGATTAAGGATCAGTAAGCTCTCACGGTATTCACAAAAATACCTTTATATTTATGAAACAGTTTTTATATTTCCACAAGAATATTGTGTTAGAACCGATTCGCGTATTTCTATGTAACTAAAATAATTTTATATCACGATTTATTCTAATGCCTTATTTTTCGGAGTAAGATATTTATTGGATTATATATCTTTATCAATCTTTGATGACAAGATGTTATAATATCAACAGTATCTACAGCTATGCAATAGTTAATACCGTCACAACTACATTTTATCATTGATAATGCGGTAGTTTTATTTACAGTTGCAGAATATTTCTCTGAATATTACGTTATCCCAGCAACGCCTCCCGCGTATTATTTATTAATAGCTTGTTGTTTTATCGTTTTTCTTATTTTTAATCTGTCATGATTTTACGCACGTTCCATAGACGTCAATGTTCGTCAATTAACGGTTTAGTACAACATCAATGCAAACAATTTTGCGCAATAAAATGACGATAACAATATTTACAATCATATATATAAAAACATGAAAGATAATGTACTCTCTTCTATTACTATCGAGCATTAATCGCATGCAAATCTATGGAACATAATCGAATTTCTTCATGCACGTGTATTATTGTCATTACCCATTATGCGATTTGTTACCGCGATATTGTTCAAAAAGTGAAAAATTGCTCTTTTTGCATTGGAAAATGAAAGTTGCTATACTTTCCATCGGCTAGAAGCTAGATTACTTTATCACAACGATAAAAGAGATTTTTATGACTATACTTTTCTCGCCGGCGTGATTGATGAATTTCCGATATTATTCTCTATCGCTATTAAGATTATATAATTTATTTTATTAGTTTTTCTCTTTATAGATATCTTGTGTATTTAAAAAACGCAAATTAAAAGAAATTGTTATAATATAATATAATATAACATTTTAATTTTATTAATGTAAAATTATGTAAAATTATTATTAATTTTTAAGTTATAAATAAAAATTGTGAAAAATGTAAAAAAATTATTTAAATTTTAGATATGTAAATTGGATATCTTAATCTATTTGAGAAAATATACTTTTTCACGAACACGAAAATTAGAGTCCTTCTGTAACTCAAGATATCATTTTTGACACTTACAATTAGTCGATTCTTGACTTCCATTCTGAATTCGCAACGAGCCATGCAGTATTTCACAAAAAGATTCGATCGCGTTTTACTTCTTATCGCGTTTATCATTTGCACGGGCCATTTTGTCGTTTGTTCCATATATTTTGTCGCGTAATCATGGCATACGTCGCGTAATGCGTGTTAACAAAGGGACGGATTGTCACGTATAAATCGCAACAAAAAAACACAGTATGCGATTACGATCATAGCTTTAATAAGCCAACAAATAAAATTGAATATTAAGACGGATTATCTAGTTCAATGACAGATCATCGCTATTTTGATTAGCCGACTTTGGCTAATGAAACATCAGCTATGCTATCTCAGGGCAAAGGCCCATCACACAGCATCTTCAACGACGCGCCTCCTTTGACATCAACGTTTTTATTTTAGAAGTCTCGCGTGATTATGATGACTTGTTTCCAAACAGTCAGCATTTTCCTTAATTGTGTAATAAAGGTCAAGAATCTTTGCTTGCGATCACAAAAAAAAAATTATGCATAACGTAATCAAAAATTGCTTAACATCTCGAGAAACAAAATATACCGATATAGAATGTCATTTAATAGATAAATAGATGATAATTATAAATGTATGATGATTATAAATGTATGAAATATGATCATATTTATTGCGCAAATGATTATTGTATATATAGAGAGAGGAAGAAAATAAAATTTTGTATAACTTATTAAATGTTTTATATGGCAAAAGTTATTATTTGCTGCAAGTGTTAAAACATGTAATTTTAATTATTTAATATTTAATTGAACTTCTGTTTTCTGCTCTTTAAAAATTGGATTATTATCTTATTTTTAGTATAACGAAATCCCTAAATAGAGTGAAAATTATATGGGGAGGGTAAATTAAGCAATAAGAGAAAAATTGAATCGTTTGCAAGATACATGATATGATGAACGATTGATATAAGATGGACGAAAAAATGCTTATCGAATTTTCATTTTCTAGGATCGAAAATGAGATACCATTAACACGACTTATTACATAAAATATAATTCTCTTTCTCTTTTTTTCTCTTTTATTTTTTCACTTTACCTCGTTGGGTATTCGTTTATATTGCAAAGCGCTGAACTTGAACGCGTATCTGTTTGGATTTTTGTATTCGTAATGATACTTGACACGGATTTATTGCGTTGCAATAAATGTGATAGATAATCACTATCATGTAGCATACAGCACACACACGTGGGATCAATCAGAAAATAATTTACTAATCGCAACGGAATTACAGTAATGCGACAATATGTTAAATTGTACAACCGAAAGGAAACATAAAGATAAGCCCACACAATGTTGCTGATTAGGCTTCACAAAAAAATATTTCGTTTATCTTATTCCATATAAAAACCGTTTATCTACAACGCATAAGAGATTAATCGTGCACTTGTTTTGTATAATATTATTTGACAATCAAAAATTATTTGAAGAACGTGTTATATCAATTTAATGATCATTTCAAATAATCACTTTCAATTTCTATTTATAACAATATTTTTATTTGCGAACAAATATCTTGATAATTAGTAATTTAGCGTACGATTATACATGAAACAAATTAATCAAATTATATCATTAACACAAATTTCGCTCGCAATAATATGATATTGTTGTCTCTTTTTGCAATTTTTTTCCGTAATTCAGCATATTGTTTTGATCGCCTGTGATATACCGCAATACTTTTCAGAGCTGTTTGAATAATCGCGTGTTCATTAAATGCTACGTATAATTTATGGAAATTTGGTATACAATCTCTAATTGTAAATTAAAGGCAGGTAAAAACGACGCTAATGTAATTCGCACGATAAACCCAGAGAGTTGCTTTCTGCATATCTGATTCGATATTCTTAAATTATTGAGCAAGGTTGGCAAAGATCGTCGGACATTATTTTCCTCAGGAATGCAAGATGTAATTCCGTATTCGTACCATTAATGATAACATCAATATTCAATACCGAGATTGCTTTTCGATATCACATGATTCTTACCGTCTCGTAACGTACTGTTGACAATGTAACCGCATGACAGTGCATCATAGATTACGTAAATGCAATAATTCCGAGGATATCGCGTTAAAATAACCACATTGCTGTTTTTTTTTGCTTTTATATACGCTATTTATACAAACCTGACATATGAATGCATATTTTATTCTCATATTTCATTGCATTTGTACGCAAAAGCTACTATTTCTCTTACCCATTTGTGATGTAAAATATAAAAATATAGAAATATTGTTTGGTAGAATATTAAATAGAATATTATTGAATAGCTAATTAAGTCCTCTCTTGTAATACAAAATATTATATTCAAAAATATTTTCTAATGTATTATATACTAAAAAATTTAATATTAAAAATATATACAAACATAAAAAATTTATGGAAATTATTTTATGTAAATTTTTAGAGACTGAAATGTAAAATCTATCTTATACGCGACAGTTTGCCGTCGAGTATCTTCTACTATAATGTGATTTAAATTTCTACTTTGTAAGGTTTATATGTACGTGCACTGCTCCGTAAAACCGGAAGCGCGGCAAGCCTTGAATTTCACCGTATTGCCTGAAATGCAATTATGTAAAATCGCTCTATCGTCGGAAAAGCCTTCAAAGCGCGCTTTGATTCGCATTTCGTCGGCAAAGCATTGCCGGCAAGCATATCCCAACCACTGACATAATTGAATTGCTAATCTTAAGACGCGCGCAACACCTTTGAAAAATTCTTGAGGGTGATAAGAAATGTATTTGATGAAATTTTTTAAAGATAAATATTCTTTCGAATATAAGCGTTTTTATTAACAAATTAAAGTTTTAATACGTAACCATTTAAATAATGTAAAATATTAATTTTTTATTTACAATTACAAAAAGACTCTTACGAAGGATGTATTACGATGAAAAAACATAGATATGTCGCTAGCTTTTTGCTAAAATAAAATAAATTCTTTAAATAAATATATATAAAAGAACAGAAAAAATCCTAAATTGTATCTCTGTTAAAAAGTGGGCATTATATGTGTAAATATGTTAAATATACAGCAACCTATTAGAGAACCACTGATATACGAGTTCGCACATATAAATCACTTTTGGCGTGTTTATCTCTTTCTCTCTACGGCTTATAATATAAATTTAAATTTAAGGATGTATTAATAGATATTTTATCAAATCCCATCGAAGCGATAAAATAGCGATCAGCATATACGTAGGCTTTAGATACAAAAGCTGTGGATTAACAATGTGTTTGATTATAATGGATCGTTAAATGCTCGAGAGATTAATGATATAATAACAGACACGAGCTAAATATTTAATAAAATTATTTTATCGCGGTATATTTCTATTTACGCATAGGAATGCATCCTGGAATTTGATACGATTGCAGGTAATCTATGTATCGTGGCAACTGGTGCGATGATGGGATGGACAAGTCCGGTCCTCCCTAACTTGGAAAAAGACGGTGGACCTTTGGGATCGCCGATCACCAGCGATGAAAGTTCGTGGATAGGATCTCTAATGGCTCTTGGTGCAATTCCTGGTAGTTTCGTAGCAGGGTATCTCGGAGAAAGGTATCACCCTTTATAACTTATTTATATCTTTATATACATAAAGGTATAAATAAGTTCAAACACATGCATGCGAGTTTCATGATTTAATTTTGTCTTCCTTTTTCGAGACAGCAAGTCGAAAATAAAGACATCTCCATTTCTTCGCGAAAATATGAAATGTATGTTAAATTTCAGTATTTGAAGAAGATGGAAATTGACCTATTTTATTGATCTTTTTACAGATGGGGTCGCAAACGAACAGTGCTATTTGCCGTCGTGCCATTTTCAATTGGATGGGCGTTAGTCGCTTCCGCAGGTGACGTTGCTCAGCTTTATATCGCGCGACTAATATTTGGATTCGCTCTGGGTATTCCATTCACGGTTCTACCTATGTATTGTGGGGAAATTGCTGAGGTAAATTTATTTTGCATAATACTTGTATAATTAGTGATGTAATCATTTATGTAGAATTTCCTGAGATTATCGTAATTATTTCTCTTATTTAATTCTCTTATTTCATCTTTAAAAAATTATGATTAATAGAGTTCTAAATATAAATCTGTATAAAATTATATTTTTAAATCATTTTACACGCAATACTTAATTTTTTAAATTGTCAAAAACTTGACTTAGAATAAAGTTACTATTCTATAAATCCTTCTGCAATTGATCATTGTACAGTAAGAAATGTTCTTTTCTATCTATCTTTTCAGACTTCCATCAGGGGAGCATTGGGCTCATTTCTTCAGCTCTTTATCACGATTGGATTGTTGTATTCTTATGCTATCGGGCCCTTTGTTAGCTATACAGTCTTTTGGATCGTATGTGCCATTCTGCCAATACTCTTCTTCGTCTGTTTCGTAATAATGCCAGAGTCTCCGTATTATCTTCTCAGCAAAGGCCGCAGAGACGAAGCGATCACAGCTCTGGCAAAACTCCGAAGTAAATCCGAAGGAGCTGTCCAGAAGGAAGCTGACGAAATGCAGGTGTGTAAATCGTAGCAATTTTTTTTTAATTATTTTTGTTGTTTTTATTACAAATTTTCTGATTATCTTTAAGAATCAAAAATTAATCCCAGCCTATCAATAGATTTTTCATTAGCTGTTTCCCGCGATTAAAAAATTTAAAATTAAATTTATTTTGTATATATATATATATAATCTGTGACTTGGAAACTTGTATGCTGTGCAATTTTATTTGGTTTTAATTATTCTACTAAAGATTGTTTTCTGGCTTTGCCAAGTAGATTTCTCCACTTAAATGACAAGGTAATTTACACGGTTATAAGCACGTAGTTCGATCATTGTTGGAGACATATCTGAATATATTGCTCGTCAGGTCACGTTAAGCAAACGAGGTCGCGGCTAAGGCCGTTTCTTGATCCTAAATTATAATGTCGTACCGCTGTGAGAAATAATCGTGATTGGATTTTTGCAATCGACATTTTTTCCTACAATGCAGTATCTTCCGGAATTGCCGGATTGTTTTTTCAATTGAATATGTTAGACGTTAAATGAAAAATAGCAGGCGTGAAAACAGTTGCAATTACAAAAGTAATTAGCATTACTGAGTGGAAAATTTTGAAGAATTAAAGCTCAAGATATAAATAGATAATAGAACTTTGCTTTTGCGTTAATATCAGTCAGATATTATTGGCAATATTATTTTTCAAACATTAATTTCAGAATATCCTGTATAGATTATTACATTTTAATTTTCTCGTTCTAATTTTTACTGTCTAATAAACACGCTTGATTTTGATCTTTCAGGTGATAATCGATGAGGCTTTCAAAGATCAAGTCAGCATTTCGGATCTGTTTAAGGTGAAAGCTAATTTAAAGGCCCTTATCTACACCTGTGCCTTGGCTTCCTTCCAACAGCTTACTGGTGTCAATGTCGTGCTATTTTATATGCAAAACATTTTCATTGCTGCTGGGAGCTCCGTCCCAACAGATAAAGCACCGATTATAATTGGCGTCGTGCAAGTATTAGCATCAGCAGTAACGCCCTTGATCGTAGATAGATGGGGTAGAAGGATGCTCCTCGTTTTCTCTGGCATTGGAACAACAGTCAGTTTGGTAAGTAATTTCTTCTATTTTCAAGTTTAATCCTAAACAAAATATTTATCTCTTCTCTTTGCCACGAAGACACACTTTTAAGTTATAAAATCTTGCCGTTGCATGAAACTTTTACGTTCTCGTGCTACTCTTTTTCTTTACTTGATAAACAACAGATCCGTTCAAAAATTTGCATTGAAAATTGTGTTCAAAGTTAGCGTATTCATTAAGGGATAGACGCAACGCGGTTTCCCATAAAGTTTACTTGTTTTTTTATGCAACGATCTGTAAATTCGTTGCCTTGCGACAAAATGATGAACTTAAACAATCCGTTAGAGTAAATGTACATCGCTGCTCATCAAAATTAAAAGAAACTCAAGAAACTTAAAATATAAAAACGGATAAAATTTAAGCTTCTTTCAGAGAGTACGCAATTTTTTCAAGTATTAATTTTTAATTTTTTTAACTTTAAATATTTAAATTTTATTGAACTATTAGCCTATACATATGTTTTTATAATTTTATATTAAGAGATTTTGAAAATAGAAGAGTTAAAATTACTAACAATTTTTAAAATTATTAAAATTTTGCGATGTTTTTATATTAAAATTTTACAGTGGGAAAGTTATATTTTCCATAAATAATTCTAAAGATTATTGGCGGAATTTTTGAAGATGTAACTCGTATGGAAATTACAACATATCGATTCATTTTCATGCCGCATTAATAGATTATATGCATCAGATCATTAAGCACATTCCACTGCAATGTGTGTTCATGGTTGGCATGTATAATTACGCTCACTGCTATAATTATGCTATAAATGTTAACAATTTAACAACTCTTATTTTTATCACGTGTCTTGCCTTCGAGAGCGAGGCGAATGATTTAATTATCTGACTGTGTCAGGGATCGAGTCGCGATCTTATAAACTCGTTGCTTATGATTTGTATGCGATCCTCTTATGCAAATTAAACAAAGATAAACGCGACGCAAGGTCTGGCACACTCGGAAATGTCCGACGCAGGATATGCAACAAGTGCATCGCGGAACGCACAATGCCCGCGAGACGTGAGGAAGGTCGAGCACCATTATACATGATGTATACCATTGGAATGCGGCGATCAGTATTACATCGGATGCAATTTAGTACACACGCAACGCGGTAACTTCCATATATGATCGCGTACGCGCGATTACATAAAACAACGCGAATTTCCGACAGAAAACAGATGTATTCATGATCAAATTGTAGAGGCTTAAGGGGGCATATCCGTTTGAAACCTCGAAAAATGAGTACATTTTCTAGATTTTTTTGCAGCATAAGGAAATAAATTCCTTCTTTTGCCGGGTAATTATTGTTGCCAGCAGATGAGCATAAACATTTCACGCTCGTTGACGACCGTGCGATTTTACGATCGTTAGTTAGACGTTCATAACTTTATTTTAACTGAGACAAAGCCAAGTTATCAATCAAAATTTTGATTAAAAAATTATGATAAATATATAAATTTGATTAAAATTTATATATTAATATATCATATTACATCGGATGCAATTTAGTACACACGCAACGCGGTAACTTCCATATATGATCGCGTACGCGCGATTACATAAAACAACGCGAATTTCCGACAGAAAACAGATGTATTCATGATCAAATTGTAGAGGCTTAAGGGGGCATATCCGTTTGAAACCTCGAAAAATGAGTACATTTTCTAGATTTTTTTGCAGCGCAACGACTTGATAAAAATTTTTTATTTTTTTATGATATTAATACAATACTATTAACTACTCAAATAAAAATTTCCAGCTTAAAAAAATATTTTTTTTTTTAAGTTGTGGAAATATTTGCGGAGCTCCTTCAAATTTTTGGTGACTGCACGGTGTGCATGAAAACGTTCGTAAATCATATCTGAAATAAAAAATCCAAGTTTTTTCTTGTTAAACATTGTAATAGCTATTTGCTATTCAAGTTTTTTTTTTCAAAATTTCAAACAATATAAAAATGGCGGCGTGTTGAAAAAAGTTTTGGATTTTTTTGAAAAAAATTCCATCTTCTTTTTTATAATAAAAAAAATGGGGAATCGGATTAAAAAAAGGGCTCCATTGGCAGATGCCGAATCTGATTAGAAACTCGCATATAAAATTTGAAGTCAATCCGTCGAACGTAGCCCGAGTTTTCATGCACACCGTGCATGAAAGCATAAATCTGCAAATATTCGCATAACTTAAAAAAAAAAAATTTTTAGACTGAGAATTTTTATTTAAATAGTTAATAATAATAATATATAATAATATATAATTTATAATAGGTAATTTAATTGATTGATTATTTGATCTTATATCAGCTAAACAAAATTTAAGAACAGTAACTAGAAACAAATTCTACGATATGGATGAGCTATAAGAAATTCAATAAATTAGATAAAATTTGTAAATTGGAGAAAAATGTTTTCTATAATCTTCCTTCTTTAATTTATATTTTAATTTACTTTTGCAATAGATGCAATGTATATCAAAAGAGCTTATTAAAAGTTATTTAATTTGATCTGTCTTAGCTCATCCATTTAAAAGTAACGGATTTATCTACAATCTACAATCTACAATGTACATCTACAAAGACTGAGAATTTTTATTTAAATAGTTAATAATTGTATTAATATTGTAATAATGTAATATTGTAATAATGTAATATTGTAAAAAAAATTAAAAATTTTTATCAAGTCGTTACGCTGCAAAAAAATCTAAAAAAAAGTTCTCATTTTTCGAGGTTTCAAACGGGTATGCCCCCTTAATCCGTTTCAGATAGTTTTGGTACCCTGAAAATAAATTTTATTATTTAGAAAATAATTGTTCACGTTTTAATAAATTTTATATAATTAGATATGTTCTTCTTTTATTAATATTACTAAACAAAAAAATTTAAAACTGAAATTTTAATGGTATAAAAATTGCCATAGAAGCTTTTACAAATTTTCTTATCTGATGAAAAATCGTCAAAAATTAAAATTTTTTTATTAATCGCACAAATTTTGATAGATTTTCAATTTTATTATCGATGTGATTGTATTTGTTTCAGATTGCTTTGGGCTTGTATTTCTATCTGAAAGAAGTGCAGCATGCGGATGATGTAGTGGCGGAGATATCCTGGCTACCGGTAGTCTCGCTCGTTATTTATATCAGCACTTATAGCGTGGGTTGGGGCCCCCTTCCGTGGGCCGTGATGGGCGAGATGTTCGCCTCGAATGTTAAGGCCAAGGCCTCCGGCATAACGGTTTCTATCTGCTGGTTCCTAGCCTTTCTCATCACCAAGTTCTCCAAAAACATGGAGATTGCATTCGGCAACTACGCGCTCTTCTGGATGTTCGGCGCATTCTGTATCGCCAACATCCTCTTTACAGTACTTCTATTGCCGGAAACAAAAGGCAAGAGTTTGCAACAAATCCAGGACGAGCTTAATGGAGTCAGTTCGACTACTCTAGATATGGAGAACGGCACGAAAAAGTGAAGATAAAATATTCGCAATTTATCATTCTGAATGTATATTAAATACCTGGTGAGTTCACGACACCTTAAAGAGATTAGACATTATTATTTATAAATTAGAGATTCTATTTTCTCGATAAAATAGAATATATGATCAGTTTTTATATCTTTATGATGCGTAGAAGAGATTTCGTATTGCTTAAGATAAAGAAAAATTAAAAATAGCTTAAAAATGTCACAATAGGCCGGATTGTGTAACGTTGCCTACCGTTCTACTGCCAGATTTATAGAAATATAAACGATATGGGCATATTTTTAAGCCTGGACTATTGTCCAGCCTGTTATTATCAGCACTGAGACAAATATAACCGTGATTAATAAATAAAACATAGCCGAATAATTCAAGTGAATCACGAGAGATTTAGAATGATCAATATTCAGAAAATTTATTAAATAGAGATTGGTACATTCTATTTTTTTTTCTCGTATACGCGGATAATTATGTTATTCTCTATATGCGATCGAAAAAATTTTATCGTTTTCGGAAAATGTTACATTACATTACAATTATACGTATATAAAAGAAATGATACCATAACATATTTATATATATATTTACGTTGATATTTTGGTACGTTTAAATATCCGTTTGTTTGCTGATGAGTATAAAGAAAATGTGATATGCTAATAAGCGCTCCTGCAAACATTTTCCAGCAAGTTCCTGTCTAGCCCGTGACTGGAAAACGTCGTAATAAAGTAATCAGTAATAATAATTATTCGACTTTTTTATCTTTTATCGAGATTTTTATAGTATTACATTCTGACTATAGATGTAGAGCGAGACAAAAAACCAAAAGGATTACTCTTGCGACGTATTTCTCGTTCATGAGTGAGAGACTAGTCATTTCGTAACCTACATCTCTGTATAAAAATAATGTAATTATTTAATGACACTGAAAATATTGAAGTCTAAAAGGACATTTCACACATTGATTGATTATTATATTATTGAAATGAAAGATATCGCTAGAACTGTCTAATAAATTGATGAATTATGTAGCGACTACATGAAAATGTGTGAGGCAACTTTGTTGTTATTAATAAATGTTAACAGCAACAAAGTCGTTATCACATTTAACAACAAAGCATAATTCTTCTATATCTTGCATATAATATAAATCATTATAATTAAAAAATAATATTTAAAAATACCGTATTATTATAGTTGATTCTTAAGTTAGTTTTAAATTACTCTGTTTTTAAATAAGTAATATTCTAATATTATATTTAATATTATTCTATGTTATTTATATTGTATAATTAACATATATAGTAATACTATGTTCAACTGTACAACGTGTATTTCTTCTTCTCAGTTCAAAAAAGTTGGACAAATTTTTAATTTAAATTATTTTAATATTACAAAAAAATATAAGAACGACATAAGTATCTTGTAATTTAATAAGACTTTTTTTAAATTCTTCTTATCTGGTATTATTTTCAAAATATAATTTTATAAATTAAAATGTAAAATCCGATAAAAATTAAAATTGTAAGAGTGAGAATCTACTCGATACACAAATAAGCGTTGGTCTCATGTCGATTAACACAAACAAGTCTTTTTATAAACATTTTACAGTACACGCAAGTACATTGACTAAAAGTGTTAAAATAATCTTTTGTAAAATATGTATGAGAGCGCTTGTAAGAGATTGATTTTGCCTTCCTGCATTGAAACGAATTTATACTAAAGACAAACTCATTTTCGAGAAAATAACGAGCAAAATACATTCGATATTGCTTTATTACAAATCAATTGTATGTATGTTGGCCATATATGTATTGTATATATTATATATATTTTAAATGGATACAATGCATATCAAAAAAACTTATTAAAAGTTATTCAACTTGATCTATTTAGCTCATCCATTTAAAAGCAACGGATTTATCTACAATCTACATCTACAATCTCTACAAATCCGTTACTTTAAAATTAAATAAAAGTTTGTCACTCACCGGCACTGATGCGCAACAGCGGAGTTGTTGGTCTTGAGGCTACGTTGTCTGTAACATACAAATATAAAATTCAAATTATAGCAGCGCCCAAAATATAATTAATATTTCAAAAAAAATTATTATTTTACATGCCAAATTTTATATCCGATGCGTACGATAATAAACAGATACATAAATATGAAACAATTTTATAAATTCTAAAAAGACTTTTCTAATAATAAAAACATTTATCGGATTTATGTAAAAGTCTTTCTTTCTAATTTTCTTTTGTTTAATTCATTAAAATAATGAGATCAAATTAATGCGCGTACGTGATTTTTATCAAAATACAAATAATAAATACTCACCCTTGGGTTGCTCCGCCGGTTCGCTACGTTGTTCTGTAACATGCAAATAGAAGATCCAAATTATAGCAGCGCTCAAAATAATTAATATTTTAAAAAATTTTCATATACGCATTGAATTTTTATTCAATGCATATATTAATATGCAAATTAATCAAATTTTATAAATTAAAAAAAAAACTACTAATAATTCTAATAATTCCATATAAAAAAGCTATAATCTAAAAGTAGAAACTTTTACAAGATTATAGCTTTCATATAAAAATCTTTTTTTTATAATTCTCTCTTGTCTAAATCATATAAATAAAAAGCGAAATTACGTAATTAATTGTTTAAATTAAATTATGCGTACGCAATTAATAAATAATTAATATACAAATAACAAATTACTTACCACAGAGTTGTTCCACCGGTGCCCGATGCCTCTCCTAGGCCTCCTCCTTTTCTCAGGTTGATTCACACGCGCCATACTTTAAATAGCACTCCCGCACTTTTATTAAAAGATTACTTCCGCACTTATACGCGCGATACCTTGAACGACACTCCCGCATTCTCGAATTTCGGCACGATCGAACCTCGCTTCACGTGAGAATCATACTTCGAGTCGACAAGTTTAAATTAATTTTAAATATTTTAGAGGTAAATTTTTTTGCAATTCCGGCTTTTTATTTAGAGTTCTGGATAGCATCCTACGAAATATAAAAGAAACTCTTAACATTTTTACGCTCCAACCAATATTGCAATAAAAATCCTGATTTTTTTATCATTTTTATCTATTATTATTTATAAAAACTAATTAGCGCATTTTAAATATTTTATATAACACATATACACACACACACACACACACACATTTTGTAATATTCTAATAATATGTCCTGAGCAGCTCTCATCGAGATATTCACTCTTAAAAAGGCATGTTAAATCGATATTCGCAAGTATTATTACCTCTTTTCTGCGATGTTGATTGGTTATCTCAACGCTGCGCTGTGCATTACTTTATATCAGTAAAAACCTATCATGACTGAGCGACGCATTTGAGAGTTCAAATATTAAGTGTGTATGTAATTTTTATTTAATTGATTTTGAAAAAACGGAGAACTAGAGTTAATATGTAAGTAATAAGAGTTAATATATAAGCGTAGTACGCTTATATTGTTCTAGTAAATTAAATTTTATACAAACAAGTATTTTTACAAACATTTTACAGTACACGCAAGTACATTGACTAAAAGTGTTAAAATAATCTTTTGTAAAATATGTATGAGAGCGCTTGTAAGAGATTGATTTTGCCTTCCTGCATTGAAACGAATTTATACTAAAGACAAACTCATTTTCGAGAAAATAACGAGCAAAATACATTCGATATTGCTTTATTACAAATCAATTGTATGTATGTTGGCCATATATGTATTGTATATATTATATATATTTTACAAATATTTACCGCAACTTTTGTACAGAATTATTACTATAATAAACAAAATATAAGAACATTTAAATGAATTGTTGCAACTTTTCATACATATTATATACACATATTCTTTCCTTTGCCTTTTTTCTCCTAATTCTTGATCAAATTCTTGATATAAAGAAAAAAGAGATGTTAAATCGATACAAATATTGTTGCTGCTTTTCCGCTGATTAGTTATTTCGATACTGCGCTGTGCATTATTTCTTATCAATAAAAGCCTGTCATGGTTGAACCGCATATTTGACAGTTTAAATATTAAGTACGTGTGTATAATTTTGATTAGTTAATATGTAAGTAATTTTATAAATCTATGTTTGTATGTAAAATTAATTAACGCTATTAATGATTAAAACTCCATGGATTCGAAAGAATACGGTTAAAACTATATTAGAAAAATATAATAATTATAATAGAATAGATCCCCGCATTTCGGAAATCATAATTTTTCGCATGTCGTATAAAAACACATCCAAGTATGTTAATATGTAAGTAATAAGAGTTAATATATAAGCGTAGTACGCTTATATTGTTCTAGTAAATTAAATTTTATATAAGTTGTACATATATATATATATGTACAACTTATACATACTTGTGCATGTATAATATATACACACAAAATCTTTTTCAACTGTCAACATAAATTTGCTTTTAATTTTGGCTTGATTGATATTTTAATAAATAATCGTTACCACATATACCAGTCTCCACCTCTCCACAACATAACGAAACAAAAGCCGTGCGCTGCGTGTGACGGATAAACTGAGATAAACAAATTTATTTGACAGCATATTAATTAAAGCTTTTTCGTTGAAACGTCCAATTTAGCATTATAGAAACTTGATAAAATATTCAGCGTATACGGTAAGAAAAGCTTTAAAAACGATGAATAAACACAAATGTCGTATAAAAACACATCCAAGTATTAGGATAAGTAGATTTTTTTGCATTTCCGGCTTTTTAATTAGAGTTCAGTGTAGCACGCCACGAAATATAAAAAATAAACGATTACACAACTATAGGAAAATTATAGTAGAATAGACTTCTGTTTCTCAGAAATCGATTTTTCGTATGTCGTATCACATATCAAAATATTTCTAAGTCCCGAAGGGAGTACGAAAGTATTTTGAGGTCCCTTTTTCTCTCTATTCTCTCGATTACTGTCTCTTTTGCTTCTATTTTATTTTAAAAAA